ACCCCCTCCCTCCCTCCCGTCCCCCTTCTTCCGTTGCACTGACTCCTCCTTGTCCCCAGACGTCTTTGGACTTCTCAGAGCCCAGTCTCATTTTAATGTTTGTTTTCAGATCCCCAACCGCATGTGAGGCTGTGCACCCCAGACCCCCAGCCATGTCCGGCACTACGCGCACGTGTTGTTTCTGCTGGGTTCTGAGCGATGTCATCGAAAACTAAGGAAAAGAATCCTGTTTGAAATGTCCTTCCTATGAAGGACATTTAAACTGCAGGAGCTGAGGGTGAATTCTGTTTCCCCCGCAGTCCCTGTGTCGCGCCCGGTCCTCACCGTCGGGACCCCCGGGGCCCGCGCCGTGCCGGGGGACGTGCTGCAGCTCCACTGCGAGGTGCCGAGGGGCTCGCCGCCCATCCTGTACCGATTTTACCGCGGGGACGTCGCCCTGGGGAGCAGCCCGGCCCCCTCTGGAGGAGGCGCGTCCCTCAACCTCTCTGTGACCGAAGAACATTCTGGAAACTACTCCTGCGAGGCCGACAACGGCTTGGGGGCCCAGCGCAGCGAGGCGGTGACACTCAGCGTCACAGGTGAGCCGCAGGTGTCGCAGCCCTGCAGCCGGGCGGACCCGCCGGCCTCACCTGACGGGCCGGGGCTCTTCCCGCCCACCCTACCTGCAGCCACCGGTTTCCAGTCACCCGTTTCCAACCCCGCGCCCTGATTATGCCGAGACTCGTGTAGAACGTGCTTCGTGTTGCGGCTTCGCTGACGTCGCTAGTTCCTGCGGCGCGAGCGGGCGGCGTGGGCGGGGCGCTCCGCGGACGCTGACGGGGACAGGCCGCCGAGCGCAGGTTTGGGACTAAGCGCCGCGTCGGGTGTCACATCCGGACATTTCCGGTAATAAGACCCCATAAAAAGTAAATATACTTGAGCAACCACTTTTTTAAAATACCATCTCCATAGCAGGGTTCGTTTACGAAGCATTAATAATGTGCGTGCTGTTAAAGGGTCTTTTTTTTTAGTGTCTGACTAAATATTATGCTATTGATAGTCAGGGATTAATAAAAAATCATCGCAAATGGAATAGCGGGCTCGCTTCGTAGATAAACGCATGAGCTATCTTTATATTTATCTCTCCCTTTTAGAACTCCGCTGCAAAATAATTGAAAAAAAAAAACAAACGTTATGTGGTACGGAGATCTGGTGGTCATTCCCCAATATCATTATAAAGCATTTTAGGGGTTGCATTATTTAAATTAAAATCTGTAAAAATATTCAAGTAACCTACTGAAAGGGTAGTATGCCCCCCTATGCTGAAAGTGAGCAAACGACTGGAAGGTCCTCTGTCCATTCCTCGGTGCCATGGTGACCCTCAGCCTTCACAGGAGTCCTGTGACTCGGGGCGGGGAGAGAACGCCAGTATGTTAGTACAGCTGAGTTTCTTTCTTACCGTCAAGCTACAAACTAAATGCTCCGAAACAGGTCCATATTTTCTTCTCCCATCACGATAGGTTGTCTTGCACTCCGCCTTGGAGACGGAGGACGTTGACGATAGCCGCGCTGCCTTTCAGCCCCACAATGCTCTGACTTTATGGGAATGAGCGTATGAAATCAGAGGTTTGATGAACTCTAGGGGGAGAAATGCAGTGTAAGGAGCAGAGACTCACTCACTCTGCAGACAAGCCCAGAGAAATAGCAGGTGGGAGGGCTCTGGGGACGTGCGGACTAGGAAGCACCAGAAACCTGTCTTCCCACCTAGACAATAGCTGCACTGGCAGAATCTGTCTGATGTAATGATTTTGTGACTATGGAATCTGCTGAAGGCCTGTGACTTCCAAGGGAATGGCTTAGGCAGTAAATTGCAGTTAATATCCGCTCTTAACCCAGTAGCAGCTACCACATTCCCACCCTTTTGATTGTCATGTCACACGATTACGTCTTTATAGATGTGTGCCCAAAAATATAAACTCGTAATTCTTTTAAATGCATTAGTAGTCTCCAGATGCACAAATGACCAAAAAGCACATGAAAAGATGCCCAAAGTCACTGATTATTAAGGAAATGCAAGTCAAAACTATGACGTGATGGACTACCACCCGACACCCATTAAGATGGCTACTATGAAAAAAATAACAGAAAATAACAAGTGTTGGCAAGGATGTGGAGAAATGGGAACCCTTGTGTAGTTGAGAATGTAAAATGGTGCAGCCACTGTGGAGAACAGTATGGAAGTTCCTCAAAAAATTAAAAGTAGAACTACCATATGATCCAGAAATTGCACTTTTGAACATATACCCCTTAAAAGTGAAAGCAGATTCTCAAAGAGATGTTTATATATGTACCCATGTAGATAACAGCACTATTCATCATAGTTAACACGTGGAAGCAACCCAGGTTTCCATCAGCAGATAAATAGTTAAGCGAAATGTGGTTACGTGTACATTTAATTATACATACATAGACTAGTATTGAGATTTAGGAAATTTTGATATACGTTAGGACATGGATGAACCTTGAGGACGTTATGCTATGAAATAAGCCAATCAGGAAAAGACTGTTTAATTCCACTTATGTAAGATACATATAATAGGCAAAACCATAGAGGCATGAAGTAGAATGGCAGTTGCAGGGGGCTGGGGAGATAGGAATGGGGACTTGTTCGATGGGTGTACAGTTTCAGTTTACAAGGCAAAAAGTTATGGAGAGACAGATGGTGGCGATGGTCGTACGGCATTATGAATGTATTTAATACTACTGAACTGTATGTTTAAAAGTGGTTATGGCAGTAAATTTTAGCTTATGTGTATTTTACTGCAATAAAAATAATTGGAAAAAATAGGAGAACATGATGTGGGTAAAAAGGCACACAGAGATACACAAAGTTCACGTGAAGACGGAGCCCCGAGACCCTTAGTGTTCAGCCCAGGTTACCCTCTATTGCAAAGGATGAACAGACGAGCCAGACTAGAGTCATCTGTTTAGGTTTTACAGGAACCCTGCACTTCCAAAATCAGACCCTGGCATTTCCACTCTGATGAGGCAGCTGGTGGCATCTGTCTTGCAGCTAGCAGAAGGCGCACTTTCAAAGTGGGTCATTCCCATGCAGCAAGTGGTCACCACGATCCCTCTCTTTTAGCAAATCCCAGGTGCGAAGCAGAGCTTAAGGTCCTTACCAGCCTTCTCCTGCCGGGGGCGCTCACAGCTTACACCTAAAGCCTGCACGCAGGTCGGTCATCCGATTTCCCTCAACCCAGCAGACCCAGCAGTCTTACGGTTCACATTCCACATGAAGTAAATATTTATTAATCATTCCATGTATTAATAAACTATAACGATCTGTCCCTCCTGGCTGTCCTCTTTCTATAACTATTGATTAAAATGGGAATCGTCATTGCTATTACTGTATCTAGAGGTTTTTGTACAAATCTGGATCAGTTCAGTCATCCATTCATTATGAGACTCACGTTCTATTGGGGGAATCAGATATACAGTGATAGATAGAGATAGCTAAGTCGATAGATAAATTATTGCTAAGTGCTATGTAGAAAAATAAAGCAAGGTGACTGGGTAGAGAGAAACACCCTACCCTAGGGAAGTGCAGAAGTAGAGGTTTAAAGCTAAGACTCAGCAATACTGAGAAGCAAAACTCGCTTTTAGTTATTGTTTCTATCAATAGTCATTGCTAGCATGTAGCAAGCACTTTACACACGATTTGTATTACAACAGCTTGAGATACAATTATTAGCTCCATTTTACAGAGCAATAAACAGACTCAGATTAAAAATGTTTCAATATCAAGATCATATTGCTAATAAAGGACAGAGACAGGATTTAAACTCAGATTTTCATGAATCCAGGTCCATGTTCCTGCCACGGAAACCGTGCTGCGTATTTCCTTTATTATGTTCTCTTGTGCACCTACTGAGTTAATACTGTCGGTGAACTCTGTTTTCTCCCTCAGTTCCCGTGTCACGCCCCGTCCTCACCCTTGCGGCTCCTGGGACCCGCGCCGTGGTAGGGGACGTGGTAGAGCTCCACTGTGAGGCCCAGAGAGGCTCACCCCCAATCTTGTATCGGTTTTACCATGAGGACATTGCCTTGGGGAGCAGCGTAGCCCTCTCTGGAGGAGGTGCGTCCTTCAACCTCTCTCTGACCAAAGAATATTCTGGAAACTACTCCTGCGAGGCCGAAAATGGCCCAGGGGCCCAGCACAGCGAGGCAGTGACATTCAACTTCACAGGTGGGTTGGTGGTATCTGGGCTGTAGGTTACAGTCACAGTCAATAAAATATTTCTCCAAAAGACCGTACAAAGTCTACCGTTGTCAACGCCTTTCTGAACACGCATACCGAGGCCTGGGGTTCTGGAGATTGGTGCCGGTTTCGTGGGGGCAAGGGAAGGGCATAAACTTCAGTCCTAGAGGCAGCCATCGTCCTCATGGGCACTTACGTTGAAGATGACACATCGTTCTGGGGGGAATTGAAGTGGAGCAATCAGAACCCGGCAGAAGGCTGCCCTGCCGGGTCTCTGGCTGCGTTGTGTCTACGTGGTGGTTTGCCGCGGGAACTCAAGTCTGGGTCTCTCTACGTAGGGTCTTCCAGGAACAGAATAATCCTTGTCACCGTGGGAGTCGCCGGGGGACTACTCAGCGTTGTCAGCCTCGCGGCTCTGGTGCGTTGCATTGGAACCCAGAGGAAATCAGGTGAGAGTCTGTGTCCACCCTTTGAGGTTGTGACTTTTGCCATCACTATGTTAATTTGGACTGTGTGGTGCACCTTAGCGAGATGATCGTGGCATCTGTGAGGAGACAGGTTTACTCCTCCTTTTCCAACGTGGATCCCGTGTGTTTGGCTTGTTCGTTTAGCCTTGCAGCCCTGGCGGAACCATCTGTGCACTGCAGAATAGAGTGCTGATAGCAGACATCTTGTCTTGTCCCTGATCTCACTGGAAAGTCTGGTCTCTCGCCCTCAAGGACAATAATGTTGGCTGAGGAAGTCCCTACTGTTTGTAATTTGCTGAGAGTTTTTAGAGGGAAAATGTTTATCAAATGCTGCTTCCCCTAGACCTGGGGGACAGGTGCATGAGAAGGGAAGAAAGGTGCTGAGGAGACAGCGTGTGCCTTGGGCGGTCGCAGTGGATCGCAAGGGCCATGGGTAAAGAGAGGTCAGGCTTCGTCACAGTGGCCCCGCAGAGCCTCACTTCGGCGAGAGCACAATATCAGCTCCCTCTGAGGCCTCGGTCACGGTCACGGCTCCTTGCAGCACCATCGCTGGCCAGATAACTGCTCAGAGAAAGTGTGACTCTGCGCAAATGTCTCTCAAGACCCCACCTGCCTTACCTAGGACGTGACGTGGGGTAGAGCTGGACGGTCTCTGAGACTTTCCACAGCTGCGATCTAGACCAACTCTGACCTCTGGGAACGGTGTCCTCACGGAGCACGGGACACCCTCACACGCACTTACCTTCTCTGTCTCTCGGCTTGTTTTCCAGGAGGACTTCCTGCCGCCGGGACACCCAGGTGAGGTCTCCGCATCCTGTGCAGAGGTATTTTCATGCTTTGTTTATATCCGCAGGGTAAAAACCTGGAATTATGTGTGTTAAGCAAATTGGAACATTTTCAAATTCTTATGAAATCCAAAACTGACTAAGGCCACTTTCGATCATATTTGTACCTCTTTATGCACAGGATCCATGTTCTTTGCCACCCGTGTCACTTCCTACTCCCTTTGGCTGCTCCCGTAGAGTCTTAGTGAAACCGTGTCCCAGGCTGCAGTTTATCCATTCCCTCGGCCGCTCGTTCCTCCCCTCGGCCGCTCGTTCCTTCCCTCGGCCGCTCGTTCCTTCCCTCACGCACCCGTCCAGGAACGGGCCATCGAATGCCAGCGATGTTCAGGCCACAGTATAAACTGCAGAAGGAAACGAAGTTAAAAACCTGAAGAGCCTTGATGGCCTCTTCCGGGAAATGTGGATTCTTGTCAAACGAGGTGGAAAACCGAAAGAGACCATTTGAAAAAGATGAAGGGCGACTTCCGTGGGAAGGTCTTCGTGGAGCAACGTTTCGGCACTCAAGTTTTTGAAAATAGTGGAAGATGAGGCAAATACGAGACCTTCCTCTGCCAAAAGGAAGCTGAAACTGCAGCCTCCCCCCCCGCCCACTCCCCCCCCATGGCCCTGCCCTGCCCCTCCCTCTAGTGCCACCTGGTGACCTTTGTCAAAAGAGCCCATGGGCTCAGAGTGAGCAGCCACGATCTTTTACCTGAACCACGCGGGCTCTTCCTGGATGCTGATTTTCCTGAGAATCTGTAATCCACACAGTGCTCTCACCCGTCGCTCTCTCCGTCTGTCACAGTTACAGTCCCAGTGAGTGTCACGAGCTTTCCTTGACCAGGCCCTCAAGCCCAGGTGCGCAAGAGCTCACCCGCCACGAGCCAGCAGCGGGAGCGGAGCTGCAGCCGGTGTACAGCAACGGTGAGGACCCGTGGGCGCAGGGGGCCTAGGGCGGCGGGAGGCCGAGCAGCAGCACAGGGCCCGTCGCGCTCAGTCGAAACCTGACGCCGTGGCTGTGAACTGGGCGGGCTCTCGGCTGCAGCCCACACTGACTGCTTCTCCCGCAGTGGGTCCTGGGGACGGCTGCCTCTATTCCCAGATCTGGAGCACCCCGCACACGAGACAGAATTCAGGTGAGACGCCTTCCAGGTATGCGGCGATGAGGTGGCTGTGGTATCGGGTCTAGGGTCAGAGTCATCTCAAATGTGAGGCCAGCGCGGGAGAAATCGCCTGCTCTCGTGCCGTCTCTCGTGTGGTCACGCTTCCCCGCCCACCCGTCTGTACCGCCAAAGTCACCGCGGACTCTTTGAGGACAGACGCTAACATTTTTCACTAACACTTAATATAATCTTTGGAAAACTAGGCCCGCTCGAATATTTTCTGAGTGAGTGAATGAATGAGCGTAATCGCTAAGGGAAGCCTCGTAATCCGACGTGAGAACGGTTGTGATCCCCTCACCTGGGCTCTTTCTCCCCTTATTCTCCCCCAGCATCCCAGCCGTCTGTCCCAGCGCGGTCCCCCTGCCCCGGGCACTTGACTGTGTCATTGCCCAGATTAACCGCCCTCAGTGACATCCCGTCCCAAAGCACGACCCTGGCTGCCCTCTGCGCTGTGGCCCGTGACGGGGTCCTCCAGACGCCACCTCACGCCTTCTCTCCAGCTGACTGAGCGCCCCACGTGCCCCCCGTCCTGCTGGGCCGTGTCCTGCTTCGGTGCTCGTGTGTCCTGAAATAGCCTGACTAGCTCACCTGGTGACCCCGGCTCACATTTAGAAACACAGTTCACACGCCACCACGACACTTGCGTGGACTCCCAGCAGCCCTCGCTGTGCCCTAACCTGGGGGGACTGGCAGCTGCCGTGGCCACTGCTTAGTGCTTAGTCAGTCGGCGTGAGTTTCTGTCTCGACGCCCGCAATACTCGTGTTCGTCTCCAGGCCAGTTTCCCCCCTGAAACACTCCAGGCTTCTTGGTCACTGGGCTTCGTCTCCTTAGAGCTTGTCAAAGCTTAATGGAACATCACTGTTCCAGGAGTGCATATTGGCTGAAAAACCAAAAAAGATTCAAAGACCCTTTGGAAGGAGAGAAGAAGCACGCACACTGATTTTTTTTTCTGTTCTACTGCAAACCTTTGGCTTTCTGGCAGCTTGCTGTGTGGCCGCAGAATGCAGCTCCCTCCCCCGCTGCCTCCAGTCCCCCATACTAAGCGAAGCGAACCGCATCTGCCACCTTCTCCCACATGACCGAGACAGTCAGAGTCCCTGGGAGGAGCGGAGGAGCATGCGGGACCTTTCTGCTGGGGTTGTGACAGGCAGGAAAGACGAAGTCACCGAGTGAGCCGTTCTTGGCACTCGGCGGGCAGGACGAGGGCTATTAGTGTGTGTGCCGGCGGGGCACTCGGCGGAGCTCGGAGGGAATTGGCAGAGGGAACTCGGGCCGGGAATGCATGCAGTGCAGTGGGTCGTCAGTGAGACTGTGTCACCCATGACTTAATACTTCTCTTCTCCTATCCAGAAGCGGATTCACCCAGGATGCACCGGGAGGGCAAGGTACGTCATGGGTCCTGGCTGTTTCCCCCCAACGCCCGCACCCGTTCCCACCTACACTTGGGTGCTCACTGGTCGTGTTTTCCCACCAGGAACCCATTGTCATCTACTCAGAGTTGAAGAAGAGACATCCAGATGACTCTGCAGGACAGGCCAGCGGTAGAGGTAGCATCCACGGAGATGACATGCAAAGCTATGAGAATGTCCCATGCACATCCTCAGCCTGGGGACGCTAGCCCCAGATCCAGAGGGGCCCACAGAGACCCTGGGAAGCACTGTCCCTGTCCCCGGCGAGCACCTACCCCCTTGCCTCCAGTGAGCCCACATGAGACATCTGCGCCTGAGTCTGTGTGATCCAGGGGCAGAGTGGCCATGTCTGAGTGAGCGCAGTGTCCTTTTCACAGTAGAGACGTGTGTGAAGGCCGAGTGGGTGACCCTCAGCTCTTGGGTCTGTGGACTAGGGGACAGAGAAGCGGCCTGGCTGGGACACAGGGGCGTGGCCGTGACCACTGGATCTCAGTGCGACCAAAAGCGTTTGATGCGCTCTCTGCATAAACTGTCCACTTCAAACGTTTTGTTTCCTCTTTCCGTGGTTGGTAGTGGCATCACCGATGTTGCGGTGTGTATGCCGTGTTCCAGCCACCAAACTGGAAGTGACCAAAAGAATTTGTGCTGTCTACACTGTTTCTTCGTGAGATCTATACCGGTACTGAGAATTCTTTAAAACAGGCCGGTCTCAATGAGAGAGGGCTTCCAAGTTGTCCGGTTAGATCTGCTGTGGGAAGAACGGTGCTCCCACAGCATCCTGACGCCCAAGCCCCCGCCCCGCACGTGGCCTGGGCGGTGGCCTTCGGGGCTGACGAATAGGAGGCAGGCCACCAGCAGACTGGTGTCCTTGCACAAAGAAGAAGAGACACCAGAGACGTCTCTGTCTCCCCTCGTGCACACAGAGGGAGGCCACGTGGGGGACAGCAAGAGGGCAGCCGTGACTTCCATTAAATAACAGCGACCCTTCGTAGCTGTGAAAATGCCTCAGTCGTGACGGTGCCACGCGAATGTCAAATGTGCTTTTCACCTGAGAGTCAGAAACTTAGACCACAGAAAGTATAACAGCAAAATATGGTCTGGTTTGAGGTTTTTAATCTTAGGTTAATGACTTGAACGAGCAGCCAGTTTGCTGAGGGTAAATGATTTTGTTCGTTACGGAGGAAGGGCTCGCGGCCTCGTTGCCATGGCAGCTGGTGCAAAATGCGCCCCAGAGCGGAGGCCAGGCCTTCGGGGGAGCAGGAAGCCACTAGACTTTGCTCCGAACACCTCCGCACTCAAGGCTCCAGGAAGAGCAGGGCCACCTGTGGGGAGGGGGGAGCGCGTCGCTAGGTGCCAGCTGTGGAAGCCATCTGAAAGGGCAGTGACGAAAAGCAGATGTGTCCGTATTCACTTGAGACAATCGATGGAGGCGGCATCCCATGGGCACGGGTCCTTCTGTGGAGCGCCTGTTAGCAGTGCCAGCGGCAGGGGCCGGCGGGGGACAGGGCTGCCAGAGGGAATCCGA